GGGTAATTTTTTAATGCCCAAGCCAGCAATAAATACCACTTCTGTTTTGCTTCAACTTACGCACATAAACTAACTGCAAGTAGGGAAACAATTTTTTGCATTCCGGCTGAGCAAATTCAAGTAGCATTGCATATAAATAAACAAATATATTACGAGTATATACGTACCAGTATATACTTACATATGATGTATTCTTTCTAATCGGACAACAGTACAACAATCCCTGCAAACCATTTTGTCAGAGAAAGTAGTAGGGAGTGGAATTTGTATATCGAAGTAGAAATATTAATACAAGCCATTTACTAAATAGTTCTTTTTTTTTCATGCTTTATTTAGAAGTGGCCAGCAGCACTTACGTGCCATATTCCACATGTATAACTCTTATAATTGACATGGGTGGGCGTGGACATATGTTTGATACAATTAGGTGACATTGGTGGCTGAGAAAACTTATTAAAACTTATTTTAACAAATTATTGTGAATTAATAATTTTTACGAGGTCGATTTTATACTTATTTTAACAAAGACTGATAATGATAAATATTTTTACAAAATTATAATAGCAGTTGCTTAAATTTATGCTTATAAAAAATTGTGTCTTAAGATTAATATGTATTTTCGCAAGATTAATGTTATGATTGTGACTTGAATTCATATTTTTTAGCTTACTATTTAACGGGGAGTTTAATCAAAGTATTATAATATTGGGATCAATGACTGGGGGAGGGCGTCCGTGGAACAGAGTCCTGTTTCGCCTTTCCACATGCACATGAGGGGGGTCATCAGGTAAAGGTGGGCTATTTTGTCGCCGGGGGCGATCAATCGAAGCCGGAAATTGAAATAAAGACAAGTATATAAAAGGTTTAAAAAAGATTTTAATTGAAAGTATTTTTATAAAAGAAAAGTTACAGTTTTTTGTAATTCAATAAATTTATTTATTGTTATTATATTTTCATTAAATTACATTGATTGATAATTGTAAACATTTTGGGTAATGATTTTTACTAGAATTTTCAAATGTAATCCGTTTTCAAATGTAATCCGTTTCAAAAGATATAGTACATTAAATAAAGACTACGACACTTTTATGGAATTTAGTTATGTTTCTTTCTGTTAATTAAATCTGTAGAGGAGCAGTTTATTATCCATCATTTTTGGTATTATTATTTGATATATCCTCCATAGGACCGATCAGTGTAAAAATCACTCTTAATAGTAAAATTCAAAATCATTCATTATATTCAAAATCTCTGGCCATGGCTATAGCCGGCATATTAAGGTTCGGTGCAAACATCAGTATTTGTACTAACCACTTTATGATTATTTTGATATCTTATCTTTTAACCTGAAGTTTTATTCAAATCTGCTGAAGACCCCTCGTTTAATAATGCAAATATGTACATACATTTTATTTATACTTTTTTCTGTTCAAAAAAACTTTTGTAAAAACAATTTCAAACTGTTGCCCAAAGTAAAACACATTGGCCGAGACTTTTCACATAATTGAAGACTGTGATAGATTCGTTCTATTGTCTAGAAATTTCTCTCTACTCGTAAAAGGCTCACGAGGCAATCGCATATTTGCAATAGGGGCAGTTCATGGGCTCGACATGCCGAAAATGTTAGGTCTGAGAGGAGGTGCTGATTAATGTTTCTTTGTTTGCCTCTTGCCAGCTTTGTTACTTGTTGTTGGGTTGCATGCGGCATGACGCCTATTCGACTAATGGAATTCACATGTTAGGACACGACTGATTATGTACGCATTAGAGCACTGATTTGCAATTCCAAGTGTGTGCAATTGCACGCGTGTGCGTGTTTGAGTATTTGTGAAGCGTGGCCTACTGACATTCTATCCGCGCGCAACTTCATTTTTCACTTAACGAAGGCTCTGGCGCTAACATGGAAAACAATGCCCATGTAAGTCAGTGTTATTGCAGGCCCCGGCCTTTCGGACGCCCTTTGCCCTTACATAAATGTCTGTGCCATTTAGAGAGGGTCACTCCTGTTGCCCTTTCTTGACACAGTGCCAGGCATGACAGCCAGTCAATGACTAAGCAAATTAATGTACGCCTGCTTCCCGGGCCTATTTATGCGATAATTGGCAGCACTTTGTGCAGATGCTCTTCATTCCTAATCTAATTTGCGTGCATGTTAATTTCCTCAGCCATGTCATGCCATACCCTGCCATGCATGTGCCACCACACGCTTTTTAAATACATAGTTTAATAAGCAAACTTGTACAATTTTATGCATATGCCGAGTTGGACAAGAAGCGCATGCACGCTTTGTTTAACAAATTAACTTCTTAAAAGCCAGCGAGCAAGTCGTTTTGTTTTTCCACTCAAGTACTTATACAACATATTGTGCGAACCTACAGGCGACAAAAACAAACCTAATGGCTTTATTCTGAACATTCTTACGAGTATAATATTTTAATAGATTAAAAAGGCTTACCAAAAATATATGTAGATTGAATTGTTCTATCTTACTTACTGTCCACTTTTTAAGCAGTCTTTGTATGAAATGGAAAATATTAATTAATTAGCTAAATGCATTATTTCATTTATCGGAGAAGGAATTGATAGTTTGGAGTGTTTTCATTCCTTCGAAATATCCCTCATATTGCATTAAATATTTAAATTTGGTAGAAGTATAAAAATATTCATCATCACTTTTATGTGACTATGAAAATATTATTGATATAAAAATATATACATATATGTGTATGCGATTTTGTAAAATCTCGAAAGTGGTGGGAGCAGATTTATTTGTATTAGTATGGGTATATTTGTGAGTGAAAATAATCAAAAGTTGTATAAGTAAGAAATATTTCCATTTAATTTTTGATTTAGAAGACTCTCTGTTTTTAGCTAATTAACGAAAAAATGTGATGGTGTGTGCAGCTTTAAAATGGATTTTAGTTTTGCACATATTCCTATATTGGAAAGAATATTCAAAAATACCAATCTCAGCAAATCACCAGCAATGCCAATGTACAGATTTTGTGGGCTGTCACATAAACATATCTACAAATACATATACATATGTATGTATATAGTACTATACGAATGTGTATGATTGTGTGTCGTTCTATGCGCGCGACAAATGCAACACCACACTCTGAACCATAGAAAGCGTGACTTAAGCTTTCTATGGCGTCATTTCCGGCTTAATTGAGCGTGTAACGAGAGAAGGGAGCGCTTGCTTTTAACACACACACACACGCACAGAGAAAGAGGGATACACAGACACACATACACTGACAATGACAGTGGCATAGATATGCAAACATAACTGGCAAGTCGGCGGCAGCAGCAGCAGCCTTTGAGTTGGGGCAGTCATTGGCTTCATTTGCCAAAAACATCTGCGTGTGCGTGTGTTTGTGTCATTATAGTTGTATGTTTTGTCTGTGTTTATGTTTGCCTGCCAACGCATCAGCTGCTGCAAGGCAAACACACACTCTCACAAACATATGTACAATATACACCCGAATACAGCCACACACAGTGTGTTAGTTAGTGAGCTGAAACACATGCATTTCATGTTTAGTTTTGGCGCACGCATAGACAATATTTGGCTGTTGGTGTCGCTGCTGCAGCCACGCCGCCGGAGACAACAACAGCAACACCAGCAACAGCAGCAACAACGGCAGCTACAGTAACAGCAGTAGCTGCAACATTGGCAGCAGAAACGACAATGGCACCTCATAACAACGACAACAAAGTGCCACTACATAACCGACTAATTGCAAGCCAGCATTATGCCGCATCGAACCAATGGGACAATTCTTCCACCTCCACAACATTGCAAGGGTGTATGTGTGTGTGTGTGTGAGTGTGGGTGTGCATATGTATTTGTGAATAGAGGATGGGCCTAACAGATGGAACTTCTCTGAAAGTGCCACTGGCATGGTTGCTTGCCTTTTTCTCCTGGAATTTTTCTCCACTACTTTTCTCACTCTTGCACGTAACGGAAATCAATCAATTTCCTGCGTAGACTTTGCAATTTTCAAGAATTTTTCTCCGCCACCTCACACCCCTCTCTGTTATTGGCAAACACAAAGTTGAATGCCTCTGCTTAGAATCTGAACACAAGAGCCGAGAGTAACGGCCATTGACCATAACACAGCAAAGAAATTGATTGTTTATGGAAATTTGCGGTGGCCAAGCCATTCAATATCGAGCATAAGCTATACGTGAGGCAGTGTCTGGATTATTAATTAAGGAACTGTTTGCTATATTGGCAAAAGAATAGATACGACATTTCGTATATTAAGCAAAAACTGAATGTAACGGTTCCGGGCGAAAGTTTTTTAAACAAATAATAATAGCGATTTTATTTATCATAAAGTATTATGTGAATACTCACAGTCTGTCCTGATATATGAACAGATGCATTATATAAGACACGTTTAAGCTCTTTTAAAAAAACCACAGTAAACTACAGGGACAAGTACAATCGCACAAAATTAAATTTTATAAAATTTAAACTTTCCGACCCAATGAGTGATTTACAAAATATTTATTTATATATTATAACACATAATGCGATAAAATTTTCTATCACTGTTACATTTTTCTAACAGCTGTAGCTTTTAAAACTATTAATTATATTATATTAAGGTAAACAACTCCTACACTACTCAGTTCAAATGGGCCTTAACAAATGCAATTGGCGTACAAAAACCCATAAGCAAACCAATTTCACGACAATTACATCACAGCTTTTAAGACTCGCAACCCATTTGGAATTATCGGTAGAGCTTATCAGACTCTGTGTGAGTCAAATCCAATTTTAGACGACACCTACCATTGTAAGGTGTTGACATAATTAATATATTTTATTGTTAAAAGCACGAACAATTAAAAAGAATTCGCTGGAATCTACAGGAAATATTTAAATTGAAAACTGGTCTACCATTCAATATTGAATGGATTGAACTCAAATGCCCAGCTACATTCAATTTCTTTTTTCTTATTTCTTCAATAACTTATTGGAATTATATTACACATTTAAAGGCCCATTTTATCAGAACTTATTCAGCCACATTTGGCGCAAATGATTTTAAGAGCCCGGTTAGATTTTATTCTGAAACTATTCAGCTATTTGTTCAATTTGTTTCCAAAATAAACCCAACAACAAACAAATTGATCGTTATTGTTTATTACTTAAAACTAAAGGGTGAGCCTTCACGAGTTTTTCCGGGCGCACCAGGAGCTCCAGGAGAGCCAGCACTGCCACCATTACCACCGGTTCCACCGTTACCACCAGAGGCGCCACCATTACCACCATTTCCACCAGAGCTGGCACCTTTTCCACCAGGTCTGCCGCCTTTTCCACCAGGTCTGCCGCTACATCCATTACAGCCTCCGCCATTTCCGCCTTGACCGCCTGGCCTGCGTCCCCCGGAAGCTCCTGGAGCGCCGCGTGCACCTCCACAACCACGTCTATGGGCCACTGTTCGCTGCGTGATAGCGGGTGGTGCTTCCGGATTTTTGAGTCGCACCAATTTTGTGCTAGGTCTGTTTTTTGTTTGCACCCTATCCGTTGGATGTATATCCTCGCCAGACATTTTATCGTCGGGTATCACAGTTGTTTTTCGCTTGGATTTACGCGTTTGTCGAGGTCCGATTTCAGGGCCACGGGCCACCGATGTCTCCTCACTTATCTGCTCTGCTTGACCTATAAGGAATATGTACTGTATGTAAGGATTGCTCCAGTACTTGAACTGCTTTTGACTTACTGTACCTTCATTGTCTAGCCCTATGATCACGAGTAGAGCGAAAATGAAAATCCACCTCATCACGACCTGAAATATGATTTTAGAATGACGCTTGGCCATTTGACTTACCGCTATTTATACCTCCAGTACGGCTTCAGCTTGACAAAAAGTTTGCATTTTAAAGCTTTGCAGAGCGTCGTTCTCACAGTCACAATTCTTCACAATTGAGTAACGCAGCTAGGTAGCAAGAAATACGCAAAATACTACTCACCCACACCAACTTACCTTGTTTTGGAAGAGCACCTCCACAGCCAGATAGCCAATTAGACCGAGCGTTAGATTGAGGAGGAGAACGTAAAGCTTTTCCCTGATGCACAGCAAGCTCGAGTAGCTGAAGCCCAACACAAAACCAAGACTTTCGAACAAACGATAGTTGGAGAAAGCCGCCTCCTTGTGGCGACGAAACAGCAATCCGTAGAAACCATTAATTTGGGTGACCCACACAGCATCGCCCACGCCCCACAATCCAGCGAGAGCGTAGAATACAACCGGCGTATCGGGTGTGGGACGCCAGTGGAGCTTGAAACCAATTAACAAAATATTTACAGTGGCTCCGATAAAAATAATAATCGTGCGTCCGATATACTCCATACTGAAGCCAAAAACAAAACATGAAATCGAATCGACCACGCCCCATGTGATCATCACGTATCCAATCATTTCCACTCCCAGGGCACAGGCAACATAGCCCGCTGTGTACTCGGCAGCTACCCAGGCCTGTTCCAGTCCAATAAATATCGTCAGCGGTATTAGAAATAATTGATTCGTCCGACGCATCTGATGGAATGTGGCGGCCACAAGTTGCTTGGTGGTCGCTTCGCTGGCCTGGGCGCCCTTGCGACCCTCGCCGTACCGCTTCAGGGGATCCAGTAGGAATACTATCATCAATATGGCCACAATCAGACAGGGTATATAGATCATGATAAGAATAAGCACGCCATGTGGATCGGGCCTTTCAATACTGCCGCCATCTTCGTTGCAGAAATTAGCGCCACAATTGGAGTAGTCCGATGTAATATTTTCGTTTGCGTCGTCTGAGTTGTTACTTGGTTTGCTCTTCAATGCTGTGGATATGGGTAACTATTTATGGTTCTGGTGGCACACCATAAGTGGCGGCGACACAAATTACAAGTTCCATTACATTTGCAACTCGAGTTGTGTAAATTCATTTAAAATTTATGCATTTCCCTAAATACAAGTACGTGTGTGTTTTGTGTGGTGTACATAATTGTGATAACTTATCTTACCATATTCTGCCTTACCTCAACTTACCTCTGAGCACCCAACATACTTACCTCCCCTCCAGTAAAGGCCCTGAAACTAACATCCGCATCAGCTAAGGTCCATTCTTCTTCTAGAAATACAACTTTTATAAATTATCACATAAACAGGACTGCAATTTCTACACTCACTGCTCGGGATTCCACCAAAAATTAACTAAAACGGCATTATGAATTACATCCTAGAATTACTTAAGCCATTTTATTTAATTTTCAGTCAAACTCATTGACATTATTGTCATGATTTCCTTTACAGTCAATTCAAATTTGTTTAAGGAAGGAATACTAAGAAAGTTCTTTTTTCTAACGCAGCCGTTATTGATTGAATAAAGGTTTTTGCAAATGCACGCTAGTGGCGAAAATGTGGGGGACTTGGTGATATTATTCTACCTCCAAATAATCAAACCGAAAAAAATAGTGTATAGCGAATAGTACTTTATGTCCCTATGGGTAAATACCATTATTATTATAGATAGAATGTCATGAAGGAGGAGCAAATCTACTATAATTTTAGATGTTAATCGTTATAGGGATTCCCTTATGGGGAAGATTATTTTTAAGGCTAAAGTTCGCGTCTGAATTCTGCATTGGCTGACAGTTTCAATCTGGAATGGCCTCTTTTATTCTTGGTACAGCTTCTTCAAATAGTTGTACACTCTTTTATGATAAATAGGGAATAAATTATGATCGCTTAACAGGGTTAAAGCATCACTATCGAACTTTCTGATCATTTGTTTTTTTTTTAAATCTGCAGTAAAGGTCAAATCCTTTTAGCATCTTGAAGCAATGCTGTAAAGTCTTAATAAGATAAGGGAGAGAGAGAAATTAATCTCACTCTGCATTTAAGCATAACAACATAATATTAAATATCTATGATGAGTCCCTGTCACAGCCTCCCCTTCCCCCAATAATATGCATTTGGATAACATCCCAAGCCAGATGGTAACTTCTGAGTGAAGTGCACGCCTACAATAAAAACCCAAACGCCTTGGCCACTGTCTAAGTCCTGTGTGATTCCCCCAAGGATTTGCTCGTGCGTGTCGACAAGAATTTCAATTTGCAAACAATAAATTTTTGAACAGGCAGCAGGCACTTGGATGCGGCTCGTACTCGTAATCGTACTCTTTTGAGGAAAAGCGAAGGCGAGCAATGTCGTGCCATTGTCAGTTGAGCCGCTGTTTATTATTTGAAAATATTTAGCCGGCATATAGTTCAGTGGAGGCGGCATCAACTGACAGCAGTTGACAGCAGTTGACAATGCCACTGCCTTGAATTTGAATTTGAATCTGAATCTCAATGCGAGTTGATTTGAATTAAGGCTGCGCATTATATTAGATTTTTCTAAGAGCTTATGATGCTTCACGAAAGTTCAAAGTTCCATCCACGAGGCGAAAAAGCTAACGCAAAACGAAAACGGAAATGAATCAATTTCCGTGCAGCAAACCATTACAAACTACAAAGCGTGCCAGTCAAACCAAATAAGCCAATACAGCAACAAGAGCAATAAAAACAAAGCGAAATGCGCAAAACACAAAAAATGGCGGACAGAGCTGGCTCGGGAATCTGAGTGGGAAGGAATGGCTGCTCTGTCATTTATGCCTAACAGGCATTGCACTTCTTGTCTGCCACAATTTCTGAAGCAATGCACTTAACCTCAAAGAGGTAAGCTTCAAAAAGCTTAAAGAAGAAAAATAAACAATTCATTTATGTTCCCGTTCGTGCCACCTTTGATACTCTACAAAGTTTATTTAAATTGTTTATTTTATCAAAATTGAATAGCGATAAAAGAATTACTATTCTGTGTTTTAAAATACAAGATTTAAGAACTAAGCCAAATTTCTCAAACAGTGTTAACTACAAAGTGGAAAAATGGGAAATCAATCATCAAATTTCTGCTAAGAACACGTTTAAAGGCACTAGTAGATATTATTTTACACCTACTTTTTTAAGAGAGAATTTTAAAAATGAAGTTGGCGTTGAAAATCAATTCAAGGCCCACGTCAGTAGAGAGCTGTTACAAAAAATCATTCTCCACAAAGTCCACAAAAAATTATCCAGAAAGATAAAATAAAAACGCTTTCATATATTTTCAAAATGCGATTCTTAACAGTTTGTGGAGCATACTTGGCCCTGGCCTTTGAGGCTGTTAATGCTTTCCGCACTACTCATGAGATAATTAATTTGACTAGGGGCAAGAAGGTAAGTTGAACCAATATAAGATTCCTGACAAACAGATAGACTAATCTATTTTACATCACCATCATAAAGTATGCAGAGATTGACATTATGGCAGTTGGATCTGAGATGCTCAAGGTATTCTGTTTCAGTCTCTTGATAGTAGGGATTATCATGGTAGGTATTTTGCTGTGGAAAGGTATTTACAAATAATTCAAATAATTTACATTTATATAGCGCACAAAATTTTTGCTGAAGGCCTGGTTGCTTCTCTCCTATACTCACATTAATTGGGGCGTGCTATTGAAAGTAATCTTCAGCATCTATGAATATGTTCATGGAGTGAAGCGCAAGAGTGTAAAAGAGTTCCTCAAGCAGTTTTTGATGGAGCATGGGGAAGCCCTCGTGCACATCCTAGTCCAAGCTGCTATTATCTCAATAGTATATGTGTATTATGAGAGCATCGATCCAAAAAAGTGCCGTAAACTAAAGAAAATTCAAGCATCAAATGAGATGAACCCATCTAAAGAAAATTCGATTACCCTCAAAGCCAATGAAGTTAAGGCCAGTGCCCCAGAAGCTGATGAGAAAAAACCAGCAGAGCTTCAGAACAATGATGGCTCCAAAGGCGATGAGTCGAAGGACAAATAGAAAGAATTTTTGAAATTACCTGTTTAAGTTATAGTTCAAATGCGTCATGAAGAAAATTGACAATAAACGTGCATTAAAAAGTAACGATGTAAATGAGGAGCAATGGGGTCTCTAATACGCATACAATAAGATGATTTCCTAGAGCAGATAAAAGTTGAGATGACAGAATAGGAAGAGTGGGAAACCTGCTTACAATTAGAAAATTACACATGAAGTAATTGAACGTTGGGAATGAGATTACGAATTGACAGCCTTTGCGTCCATTACAAAACACAAAGAAACTCCCTTTATTCCTTTTTATTTAATAATAAATATTAAATTGTATATTAATGAATGTAATAATATAAAAAAAAAGTTTTCTGTTCAATATAAAAATATATGCTGGCCTAGTATATGAAGAATGAAAGCATTGAATCGCTTGTCTTCGCCCCATCTGGTGTGAGCGACAGTTCCAAATAGATGTTATAAACGATATAAATGAAACCGAATTCGATCGCTGTAAAGAAACAGAAGAAGAAGTTAAGAACACTTTCATGGCCATAACTTTCTGAGCCTACCCATGGTTAATAGTGAGATCAATATATTAGTCAGGGCATCTATGAAATCTCCTGCAATTAACTCGAGTAGCCACCAAAGCACGAAAAATACATCGAATACGAGGCCGCCAGCACACCAGATGAGCCAGAATATCATCAGTTCTGGCTTATGCTGTTTTAGAAACAATGTGACATAATTAGCAATTCAAATATACCTCTGACCACCCTCCTCTTCTCTTCCCAAGCTTACGCACCATTAAAATGCCCGCAATCAGAAGCATGGTGACCCCAATCCAAACATTCAGCAGCAGCAAATATACCCAGAAAATCCAAATGCGTTTATTATCACGTAGCAAGCTGTGGCTCCCGTAGAGCTCTGCAACACAACAGAGAGAGAGGAAGTGGAGGGTCATCATCCAAAAATTTTGTATGCTACTCTACTCACTTCGTCCATTTACGCGCTGCACCTGTCTAGCCTCTACATCAGGCTGAAGTGCGTTCTCCACACCCTGACGAAGCCAGTAGATAATCGCCAATTCGAATATGATAGCACCCACAATGTCCATCCAGCCAATGGCCAGTCCAAAGACATGAAACGTGCTCACCATATCGTAGCCGAGCAGTTTTTCCACATTTGAATTTCCTTACGTCGCTTGCTTGACACTGACAAAAAAAAAAGAAGCACAAAATGCTTCATTCAAAAGATTTCATCTTTAGTTTAGGCTTAAATGGAGCACTTGGGTTGCAAATGAGCGCAAAAAAACGTAAATTATATGAACCGCCAGGGAGTCAAGCAAATACACAGACTCATTCGTATGTAAATACTATATACATATATACTTGTATGTGCTTAACTGCATGTGGCAGAGATGCTTTATTTTGAACTAACAATGGTTCAATGAACCAATTTTAGCTTTTCATCAATTTTTTTTATAACAAATTCAAATTAAATTAGGACGTGCTCATAAAATTATAATATTCTTCGAAGAAAAATTACTACTACTACAATTAATTATATTTTTGTAGGCGAAAGAGGGTTGGAAAACATTTTATACATTAAGGAATCTTAAAATATTCTTTTGGTATATTACAAAAATTGTCTAAAGCCTAATTGGAATTATTCAAAACTATACTTTCCACAATTAAGCACTATTTATATAAAAAGTATGTACTTTTAAAAGTATACAGATATGTATAAATAGTATTTTGAATATTTCGATTACAGCATCAGTTTCAATTATAAAATATTTGGTTTTGGAAGTTATAAAAATCTTAACTAATATTCTAACAGCTGAAGTATATATTTGATCTCACCTTAACTATATAAGATATGAAAACACTAAAAAGTATACATATTTTAATTTAAAACTAGATTTAAAAAATATTGACTCTAAATCCGGCTAAACTTGCTCTTATATAACGCAGTTTGTAAATTCCCACATATTCGAACTAGTTGAGTCGTGGAACCAGACTGAGATCTCACAGCTCAAGGATATAGCAAGGCTTGCATTTGTCTCTTTGCATATGTGGTGTGTGTGTGTATGTGTGTTGTGAGCGCACGTATTTCATCAGCGGTGCATTACGTTGCACAAATATTATATTTTTATACATATATGTATGTATGTATGGATGTATATTATATGCATACATTTTTTACATAAATAGTCGCGTCGTTGCTGCCAAGTCAGCGACAGCTCGAGTTGCTGTTTCCGTTTCCGCCATGCGCTGCTCTTCTGTCAGTATGTGCGTGTGCGCAAATTATTTTAAAAGGATTTTGTGTTTAACATTTTCAAGAGTGCCTGCATATGCATTTGCATACATGTGTATATATGTACTCGTATGTGTGTTGCACTTTCCCTCAGCATACATGTGTGGGTGTTTAAATGATATAATTTTAAAGCGCTTGCTAGATAAACACAAAGCCCAAATTAAAGCCTTGAGTGCAACTGTCGCGCTACATCTCTGCATATGTAATAGATACATACAAGTATGTGATGGCCAGTGTGTGTATATTTAGTGAGTGCGCCTGAGTTGCATAAAATGCTTTTGTAAGCTGTGCAGCGAACCGAACTGAAATTCGTTTTAATTAAAAAAGTGAAGCCAAAAAGTATGCTACAATTTTTGAGTTTTTACAAAATATTACGTATACGTTGCAGAAAATATAGCAATTGGAATACATACAAGCAACCACACACGCACACAACGCTAATTACAATAATGCCCCGATGCTGGTGACTTTGGTGATGGCCTTCCACCTTGCGCCTGAGGACATACTTGTATATGGTCAGAATCCATCACTGGGCCGGAAGTGAAATACGCGAGCGGTCCCTGGCCACATCGGTAGTCGCTTTGATCGGTACTGCTCTGCAGCATTCTCGTTCCGCCAGATGAATGTTGGGATTTTTTCTGCCTGCGTCCCTTCGACTGGCGTTGTGGAGTGCGCTGAGGCGTGCGCTGTGATGAACGCCTGCACGGGGTCGGGGGATGGTAGGGACACTTGCAGAGCACATTGTAGAACTGAAAGATAATGTAGACGAAGCAGCTCTCGACAACTGCATGCCGTCTCATGCATAAATATATGACATGATGAATTAATTCATTTACTCACTCAATCCCAGTAGCAATAATATGATGTTCTTGGCCATGCTCAACTGGAATTTGGTCTCGCTGAAGAATCCATAAAGAATCAGAAACATCTCAATTAGTATGCCAGCGCTGGAGAAACTGAGCCAGTAGCGCATATAGCGGGTATCACGCTATAAATAGACACTATAATGCAAGACGTGGTCACCCTTCCCTTTATATATTTTTCTTACCCTATATAGGCCCACAACTAGCAGGACGATTAGTGAGAACCAAAATATGCCAAAGCAGGTCGCAAATATGGTCAGCCAGCTGAGCTGTAAGTGCAGAAATGTGGAATATACTATGGCTTCCAATTATTCGAGCAGCACACCATCTTACATGTTGCACTACAAGACCCAAGGAGAGCAGGGCAAAGAGCACGGCACAGAGCATATCGAAAGCGGCTATGACATAGGAGCAATACAAAAGCGTGTCCTCCTGACTTAAGGCCAGCATTGCCCTTGATTTCGGCTGCTCTCGAATAAAATGTTTTTCAATGATAGCACAGTCAAGGCCGAGATGTTTTATTTGCAAACACAAACTTGTATTACATAGAAATATATAGTATTTACTTAGGATAACATTTCTCGAAAGAAATATTTCAATTTGAATCATTATCGCGCCGCAAACTGCGCCTCAGCTCACGCAATTCCAGCTTCTCCTGACGTCTCCGCTCCTTGCCTGATTTCTTATACTTTCGCTCACGTTCTCTATGCTCCTTGGGCAGTCTTCTCTCATTGCGTGACATGTATTTATAAGGATTTGCTTCTTCCATGTTACTTGTATCACAACCGCCTCTAGATCTAGGGGGTGGTGGCTGATGGTACTGCTGCTCATGCCACATTATCTCCATATAGAACAGATATATGACGTAGACAAATGTCATCTCAACAGCTGTGAGGAGGAAAACAGAAAATGGGATTACCAAAAGACCCAAAAAGGCAATAATAAATTGTATCATTATTGCTCTTATTCTAATTAAAAATTAAGCAGAAAAAAAACAGCCATGAGTGATTATGATTTTAGTTTGAAATTATCTGTAAACTTTTCAATCGATCCCTACACAACATCGTGCCTAGCAGACACTTCTCACATTTTAGATCCTTAGGTAGTCTCAATAACTTGGTTATATGGTTTCGCATATTCGAACATTCGATTCTTACCCAATCCCACAAATGGGAGCACAGTAATCTTAACACCCTCCCAATTCACCGACATGGCCAAAGTGAAGCCATAAAGCAGTAGAATGGCGTCCAGTAGAATACCCAGGCAGGTGAAGAACAACCAGTAACGGACGTAAATCAATCGGCGACGCCATATGCCCACCAGCAGCAATATAATGATTAATATCCAGAATATCGTGAAGATCAGGGCCACCAGTGATGTCCAATGGTCCTGGCGACAATTTCAAATTAGACTCAACCGCAAAAGTCGGACGAGAAACCAACACTTACATGCCTCGCATAGACAACTGCCGAGATAACGGCAAAGAGCACCGCAGATATCAGATCGAGAGCAGCGACACAGTAACTGCAGTAAACTAAATAGCGCGTAGATGTCGAGTTCCGAGCATCCCTCTCCATATTGCCACAGACATCAGGGCAATGACACACGTTGCTAGCTCGTTTCGTTTGTTCGCTCGTTGATTCGGCCGTTTGCAACGTTGCCTACTAAATCAAAGCTATAATGATAAGCACGTAATGGCTACATGGCCTGGCAATGGCTGCTGGTTAATCAATGCAACTTGATTGCCAAAAACACCAAAACCAGACCACTCTGCACAGTGCACTGCAGTGGTGGGAATATAACCCGAGCCATTATCATTATCTGAACAATGCATTTCAAAGAATTTATGTGAGTACGCAATTCGTTCGCTTTTGGATTAAGAGAACATCAAATTACCAAAAATGCAGACACTCTATATATTACATTCCTCAAAATATACATCCAATTTATAGTTTCCATATACTACTTGCTTATCAACACTTCTTGGGCTTTAATTTAATGCGATTTTCAGTTTCATTTGTTTGCTCATAAAGTGTAATCTATTGGACCAATCGGGTTTTGCCAACGATAGTGAAACGATTCATTAACAACCGATTTTGCAAAAACTAGAAACTAGTGCCTTTTTTATGCAACCAAATCAGACTTTTCTCAAAATATTTATATCTAGCTAATAATCTAGTGGCTTTATCTTTCTTTTGCTTTTTGCTGGTACAAATATCATTACGATCTATGGATATATATAAATACAAAAATTTAAGAAAAAGTTTGCTTTTTAAATGCTATTTTTAAATGAGCTACGGAGCAACTAAATGAACTTTACTGAATTTATTTAAATTTAATTCGTTCGACTTTATTATGAAATTAGCAACAAATTCAGCATATGGAAACATTTTTAGATTACAAATAATTTTCATATGATATGAAATCCATGTAGTCCCTCCTCACTTATGGTTTATTATTATTAAAATTATGATAACTTTGTACATGCGTAAAAATATGATGTATACGTGATTTATTTAAGCTTATATTATAATTATATATGTATATACGAATATTGATATTTTTACCAATAATTTTATTCATATAAATATTATTTCATTTAAGTATTTTACGAATTTTCGGGTGCATACGATAAGCTTTAGTTACAAATATAAACAGAACGATTACAATGTAAGCCCTAAAGACAGATCTTTTTGGGAAAAAATGATAAATTATTTTTGTAGTAAAAAGTAGCGCCGCTCTATTATCCTGGGACCCACTGTGCATTGACTATGTGACAATTTTACGTGGCCATCTGGCCGTCTTTCATTTACGCTATTTGTTTTGCTGCCGACTGCCGATGAGCCTTTGGAGATTAGATTTGCGCCTTTGACAACTTGACTCTCCGGCCAGCGGAGGCTTTCGTCTGACCATAGCATAGAGACTAACTCAATTATTATTATTGTTTGTGTTGCCTTGGATTTAGCTGCGAATTGATTTTGCGATTGCCATTGCCATATTCCCGCAACGAAATTGAAATGTGCTGTGGACTCCAATAGAAATCTAAGAATATGTATTTTTTATGTGAGTTCTAGCACACGTGAGATGAAAATTGACTTGCATACAGAAATATATAGTTGTGTATGGGTACATTTATTAGGTATTTATTTCACTCTTCTGTATGGCTGTTTGGTTTTACTTCTTCCTGGCTTTTATTCTTCTTCCTCGACTTGCGCCTTTTTTTCTTGCCTTCTTGCCCAGCCTTTTGCCGCTCCTGATTCTCCTGCAGCAGGCAATCAGTCGAAAATCCGACTTTCTATGCTCTACTCGCAAAATAGTTACAATTTCGTAAAAGAAGTAATTAAAATCAGGAACTTACCTCTGCAAGCCTTCTCATCCAGCGGGTGCTTCTTTCTATGCTTTCTTCCTGTTTCCGGTTCATCAAGTAAGCGACATGGATCCATGCACATATAATACCGATAGATGAGGTAAATGCAAAGACTCTCTATAGCTGCAATTAAAATTATTTTGTAGCTAGGCTCGTAAAGAAAAATTCAACCGCACATACCAATGCCTGCAAACAATGTAGAATACTCTTCAATGTGAAGCCAATTCACTGTTTTTGCAGAAGTTATGCCCCAGAGGAGAAATATAATATCCAAAATAAATCCAGTAAGTGAAAAAAGAATCCAACAGAGCACCAAGTTGGGGCGATTCTAAGAAACAAAAAACAGATTAATGCAGGGCCAGGGATATAAGTCGGATAAGTTGGAACCAACCTTCCAAAGACCCAAGGTAAGCAAAAGGACAACAAGCACCCAAATCATAGTGCCCAAAAGCGCTATCATGGAAAACTTATTTAACTGTAAATTGGAATAATTTAATCACAGCATATACTATAGTAAAATATCGGAACCACTCACCCTGGAGACAACCGTAATTGTTGCACGTGTTGCAAAAAACAGTGCATGCAACAAATCGCATGCGGCAATAACATAGCATATTGTTAAAAGATTGCTATATACGGCTGTCCTGAAACGATTGCGACAGGAGTTTTTTTGTTCAGATTTTGCCGCCATGTTTTCGTGTAATCTTAGTATATAGTATGTATGTACTATTATAGCTTTTCTGAAAACTATAGCAAAGCATATATTAACAAAGAAAATGTTGTACCTAAAAATTTATCAATTCACTTAAAAAGCCTCCCCATATTAAATAATAAGCTGTACGCAGTTTTAAAATATAAGAAAAATATTTTATTGTACAAAAGTACAAAAATATATTATGAAAATCTTCCACCCAACTACTTTTTCCCTTTCTTCTTTTTATCAGGGCTTTTCTTCTTGGATTTATCTTTGGGTTTCTTTTGGTCGGATTTCTTCGCCTGCTGTTTCATACGTTCGCATGCCTTCTTGTCCAACTTAACCTTCTTTTTCTTTACCGGTTTGCCCTTTTCAGGCTCATCAACCATTCGGCAGGGATCCATGCACATATAAAACCGATAAACCAGGTAAATGCATGTCGATTCAATAGCTTTAAAAATAAAAATGAGTCATTAAGAGGCTTGCAAAACTTCAGACATATCCACTAACCTATGCCAATAAAGAGAATGGTGAACTCCTTGATGTGGTCCCAGTCCACTGTTATGGAAGATGCAATGCCCCAGATCAAAAAGAGTATGTCCAGGACAAATCCAATCAGGGAAAAGATCAGCCAAGTGCGCACAAAAGTTGGACGTCGCTGAATGGTTCAGATTTTAAATGTTTGAATTTAGCTGTTGCCAAGAACTTTTACAAACCTTCCATAGGCCCGCAAGAAGCAGAATAACGCTCAGCACCCAAAATATAGTGCCAAAAACAGCAAGTATTGAATATAAGTTAGCCTGTTGCAAACATAAAATTAGCAAATGAAACGTGTCAAATTTGTTCGCTTACTTACACTCCTAACCAACAGGATTGTGGCCTGAACTGCGAAATAAAGCGCGTGAATAAGATCGCATATCGCAATGGTGTAACATATTTTCAGAAGGTTGGCATAGATCGCGCTCACTAGAGGATGGCGTTTGGAAGATTTCTTCGTCTGCGCTTGTTTCTTGTCTTTCTTCGGCGCGGGTTTCTTCTTCTTCTTGTCTGCGCCCATAATTGCGACTGCTCTAGTATATTTGCTTGGTTAGGTTTGTGTGTGTGAGCTTTGTTGCAAGGCATATCAGATTTAAAATACACTTTAGCTTAAGTAAATTAATAACAACATTGGAGGTTTCAAAATGTGCAGCCCGTTTCGCGACTTAAATCTGTTCATTCACAATAGTGAACTCTTTTCGTCGAAGTGGCAACAACGAAAATTCGGTAGCAGTGTGTGACTATCGACAGGCATATCGATAGCAACGATGTCTTTTTCTGCGGCAGAAGCGCTAGCTTTGGCGGCTTATTTGTGAGCAGAGACACTAATTAAGCTTCGTGGAACATTTTGTGCCAAGTTGAAATATAAACGGAACATGCCCATTTTAGTAAAAACGTAAGTATTTATGTGGTTTATATACATTCCTACAAGTGTTTAGCCGCCCCGGCATCGCAACGTGGCGTTGCCACATTCGTCGCTAATTTATTTGCTGTCGAGTTTGTGAGCAGCTGCTCGCAATTCCTGAATCTGGTGAAATTTGTGTGATATCCGTGTAATGGGGCCGCCAAAAAAGTCGAAAAAGGATCGCGGCACTGTCGATAAGTTCGGTAAGCATGGGCAACTAGAAAGACAGTAGCACACGTATACAATGCGCCGCTTTTGCAGCCAAGAAGCGCCGTGCTGAAGATGAAGCGTACACACAACTGGCGGAGGACAATGATAGCAGTGACCATGCCGTCGAGTCGGAGGGTGTGCCGGGCGCTGCCTCAAAGAATGCCGAAACAAATGATGAGCACATCATGACCGATGAATACGGCGCCAAGGACTATCGATCCCAGATGCAACTACGACCCGACCATGCGAACCGCCCGCTGTGGGTGGCACCCAATGGCCATGTCTTCCTTGAATCCTTCTCGCCTGTGTACAAGCATGCGCACGACTTTCTCATTGCAATCTCGGAGCCTGTTTGCCGGCCGGAACACATTCACGAGTACAAGCTGACGGCTTATAGTTTATATGCGGCCGTATCTGTGGGTCTGCAAACACACGACATTGTAGAATATCTGAAGCGCTTAAGCAAAACGAGTATACCGGAGGGCATACTTGAGTTTATTCGGCTGTGCACCTTGTCGTACGGCAAGGTGAAGTTGGTGTTGAAGCACAACAAATATTTTATTGAATCGCCACATCCAGAGGTGCTGCAAAAGTTACTTAAAGATCCAGTTATACAGAAATGTCGGCTGCTTCGGCCAGAGGAGGAAGGATTCATTGAGGGCACTCTCGAAGGCAAGGCCATAACACAATTCGGCACCAAGTTGCCAGCCACCGCTGGCGACACCGAAAAGACTGCAGCCGAAGAAGCGGCGGGACCGAGCACTTCAACAGCTGCAGCTGCAGGACAACCCGCTGACGGTGCTCCAGCTGTGCCCGATGATATCACGGATTTCTATGAAAAAATCGACAAGGAAGAGGAGGATGAGGATGAAGCTAATCTGAAGACCGTTTCTTTCGAAGTTGCGCAGGAGAAGATCGAACTTATACAGAAACGTTGCATTGAGATTGAACATCCGTTGCTAGCCGAGTACGATTTTCGCAATGACACCAACAATCCCGACATCAATATCGACCTCAAGCCAGCTGCCGTGCTGCGTCCCTATCAGGAAAAAAGTCTGCGCAAGATGTTTGGCAATGGACGGGCACGCTCCGGCGTCATTGTTTTACCCTGCGGTGCTGGCAAGTCCTTAGTGGGTGTCACTGCCTGCTGCACTGTCCGCAAGCGCGCCCTGGTGCTCTGCAACAGTGGCGTTTCCGTCGAGCAATGGAAACAGCAGTTCAAAATGTGGTCCACTGCTGACGACAGCATGATCTGTCGCTTTACTTCGGAGGCCAAGGACAAGCCCATGGGCTGTGGCATATTGGTCACCACCTATTCAATGATAACGCACACCCAGAAACGTTCCTGGGAAGCTGAGCAGACGATGCGCTGGCTGCAGGAGCAGGAGTGGGGCATCATGGTGCTCGACGAGGTGCACACCATTCCGGCCAAGATGTTCCGTCGCGTGCTTACCATCGTCCAGTCCCACTGCAAGCTGGGTCTAACCGCTACCCTTCTGCGTGAGGATGACAAAATTGCCGATCTTAACTTCCTGATTGGACCAAAACTGTATGAGGCCAATTGGTTGGAGTTGCAGAAGAAGGGCTACATTGCGCGAGTACAGTGCGCTGAAGTCTGGTGCCCGATGGCGCCCGAATTCTATCGCGAATATCTAACCACCAAGACCTCAAAGAAAATGCTGCTCTATGTGATGAACCCGTCCAAATTTCGCAGCTGCCAGTTCCTTATTAAATATCACGAGCAACGTGGCGACAAGACCATCGTCTTCTCAGACAATGTGTTCGCCCTTAAACACTATGCCATCAAGATGAACAAACCCTTCATCTATGGTCCCACCTCTCAAAACGAACGCATACAAATTCTACAGAATTTCAAGTTTAATGCAAAGGTTAGTTGCTCGATGCACCTGGAGGATGTTTGCGGCACGGTTATCTCTATCTCTAATTTTTATTCTCTCAGGTAAACACCATCTTCGTCTCCAAGGTGGCTGATACCAGTTTCGATCTGCCCGAGGCTAATGTGCTCATACAAATCAGCTCGCATGGCGGGTCACGGCGTCAGGAGGCGCAGCGTTTGGGTCGTATTCTGCGTGCCAAAAAGGGTGCCATAGCTGAGGAGTATAACGCCTTCTTCTACACCCTTGTCTCGCAGGACACTATGGAGATGAGTTACTCACGCAAGCGGCAACGTTTTCTTGTCAATCAGGGCTACAGCTATAAGGTGATCACACATCTGAAGGGTATGGATACCGACACCGATTTGATGTACGGCACAAGTGAAGAGCAGGGCCAGCTTCTGCAATTGGTGCTTTCTGCCTCCGACTTGGATTGCGAGGATGAGAAGCTGCCGGGCGAGGCGGGCTATCGTCCTGGTGGTGGCGGCGGTGTTGTTAAACGCACTGGCAATCTCAGTTCCATGTCTGGCGGCGACGATGCTATCTACTATGAGCATCGGCGCAAGCATACGGGCAGCATACATCCTTTATTCAAGAAATTTAGAGGTTAACTAAGCCCTTATGTAAACTGTGAATTGTTGTGGGACCCAAATAAAGTTCAGCTACACGAAATGCAAGTGTGTTGCCTTAAATAACTGTTATTTAAAGAGGGGTTACTTTACTAATATCCTGCGTTAAAAAATACTTAAGAATATACTTATTTCCTTTACAGGCACAGCTCGCAGCAAACACCCGAATGGGCGATAATTGAATTGCAGGGCGATCTGGAAGTCCGCTCCAACCAGGATATGCACGACCAGTTCATTGGCGATCTTTCCTATAACAAATACGGACAGCCGGTAATTTAAAATATTGTTTGTAGTAATTATTTGGATCTGACTCTAAGCGTCATATAATAAATATAATATAATAACTACTTCATTTTAAAATGTTCGTTAGCAATTAGGCATTTTTGTGAAAGCAAAAGTGATTTACCATATATTATTATTAATGACATTATTTATTTTTGCATGAAACCACACTCTTTCGAAATATATATAATTTAAATGTGAAATCTCTTCCCTCCGCTTCTAGATACTCATCATTGGCCACCACATATTGCAAGGACGCGAACAAAAATTGGATAAGCCCTTTGCTGTGTTGGAAAAGTCCAAGACCAATGAGGGTCAGCAGTTGTTGGCCAACGTTGATGCCACATTAGACGCCACCACTTTAAATACGACAGGCGCTGAGCGCACTTTGCTGGACAATACGGTGGCGTTGGAGCACAAGAGTCGCCAACGTACAGAATACACTGTACGCGCTATATGTACGAAGAAGCTGATATTCAAATCAAGGCCCAAGCCCATTATAGCCAATGTGGCCAAAAGCGTTTAGTTTCAGTTGTGTGTACATAATTGTTTTATTTTTTAAGTATACAAATGTGGATAGTTGAGTGATCTTAGAATAAATGTAAAATATAATGGAATGAGGGTATTTACGAGCTGAACCTCGCTCGCGACTCTGGCATTCCTTTCTATCAAGGTCCACACGTTCATGTATTCATACACCAGGCGCGCATAAGTGAACAGCAAGTAAACAAGGTAGCTGGGACTTAAGTTGCGAATGTAAGCAAAAAGCAGAGGCTCACGAAAAGTAAACAAACTGAAGTTGGCTGCATTTGAAATGTAAACAAACGCGATCCTTACGGTGCTTTGCGAAGCGTAAACAAACTGGGGCTCTCCTATTGGTTGCATTGCAAATGTAAACAAATGCAATTCTAACGGTGCTTCCCGAAATGTAAGCAAAAATCAGCTGTTTCACATTAAATCAACAGCATGCATTCGCCTACTGCCCATTTATGTTCCCCTGGTAGATAGTGCGGGTTTATGAGTTAAAAGGCCAACTTGGCCGGATCGAATTTAATTTTTTCGGTTTTTATATGAATTTGCTCCATTTCGTGTATCCATACACCAGGCGATCATAAATGAACAGCAAGTAAATATGACGGCTGGGATTTAAATTCTGAATGTAAACAAAACGAAAAGTAAACAAACTCCAATTAAAACAGCGCATCCCGAAATGTAAACAAAAATCAGCTGTTTGACATTAAATAAACGCGCAGGTGATATTCAAATCTAGGCCTAAGCCATAGTCAATGTGCTTAAGCGTTTAGATTGAGACGTGTACATAATTGTTTTATTTTGTAAGTATGCAAATGTGAATAGTTGAGTAATCTTAGAATATATGTAAAATATAATGGAGTGAGTTAGACAATTTCCATTTCTCGTTCAATGCCAACGAACTTCAGTTGCTCTGTGGGTCCGTATCTATAGTCGAAGAAGAGCTCCTCGCCCGGCTGTATGGCGCGCTTAGCGAAAATCCCAATTCGGTGATCACCGGTGACCATCATAACTTTGGCATAACAGTTCGGGTTGATCGAGTGATTGGCGAAACGGATTTTGTTCCCCTTGCGCGTTGCGTCGACAACAAAATCGTTGTTTAAGTTGAAAAGGAAGGAGCACATGTACTTGTCGTAGACCTTGCCACGGCGATCGGCTTCATCCTGAGAGATGATCTCACCACAATATTCCGAAATAAATTCGTTCTTTTGCGCGCCCTCCTTCAGAAAGATGCCCCAGCCGGCAATGTCCGAAGGGGCCATAAGTAGATGTTTGTCTGTGTTTGGGAAATACAATGGAATTAGATCGGGAACTTAAATATGTCCGATTCAAGCAAAACTTACGCAATCCACGCTGTACGCACACATTCTTGCAGGTGATTTTCGTCAACTTAAATTGATCGGCACCACAAGCCTGACACAGATCCGGATCGCATTCCCGCACTGCCAAATAGCAAGGACACTGCTTTGTGTTACACTGCGCCTTACAACGGCAGCCAGGAAAACGGTTCTGACAATCACTGCTGCAATTGCAGAACTTCTCGCAGAAGTTTTGGGTCTGGATGCACGAACAGTTCATGTCACAGGGCCCGATATGATCGCACGGCGTATAGTTGTAGACGTGATTGGACGAAGAGTCCTTTTTCAGTTGGATTTTGCGGCAATGCAGCGACCACAGGCGTTGCTTCTTCTTTTTCTTGCGCGGCGGTGTAAAGTCCTGGCATAGATCTTCGAAACAAAACTCGGCAGCTTCTTTTTGGGCAAACTCGTACACCTGGCGACAAGTTTTCGTAAGCATGTTATGCGCGATGGCGCAATAATTCTTTAGATAGACCTTATGCAGTACTCGAAAGAGCGCCTGATCGGCACCGGTCCAAACACATTGAGTGCTCGTAATGTTCATCATGCCAGCTACAAATGAAATGATTTTTGAATGATTAATAATCACTAATTATTTACCTAAATTAAGAAATATTTCTAGTTGCTAATCTTACTTGTATAAGCAATCTCTATTCTTTTGAATATTGTAGTAGTAGGTAGTTTACAAGTTTGCACATTAAATAAATATTCGACTGGTAAATGGACTTACCCATTATGGAATTGATTTCGGCGCTATTGACTGCTATTCCGTTATCCTTGCTGTTCTCATGATTGAAGTCCTTGTTGCTAAACTGGCTATTGCTGTCGTTGCTATCCTCCGAACTGCCCTCATTACAGGAATCTATGGGCGGTGTCTTGCTATCGGCGGCCAACTTCTCCTTCATGCCATCCTGCAGGAATACAAAATCGTATTATCAATCTATTTAGGCATGTACAGATTATCAGGAACTTACGATCAGCATGTAGCATGAATTGCTGCACGGCTCGACAAAAGTCTTGAGCTCGGGATAACGCCGCTTCTGAAGATTGGGACCAGCGTGTCCCTGCAGACCTGCATAAAGAAACGCAACAAGAATGAGACAACGCAACGAACTGGCTGTGAGGAAGACACATGGCATGGCTATGAGATGCTTTTGTTAGCATGAACAGCCGTTACTTCTTGAGATACGATTATGGTTGAGGCAAAAGCTGCGCGAATGAGGCGAGATACACCAAAAAATTTGTAGCAAGACAATGGCCAAATTAATTAAACCAAGGAATGAGATGAAAGGAGGAGCAGGCGACAAGGCTTTTCGGCATGAGTGTGAGTGCGTGTGGCTTGCGAGACAACAACTACAACAACAACTCACCCTGCGCATGGTGACCTAAATAGCAGTTATTGTTCATTACAATTTTAATTCAATTTCGATTTGTTGTTTTTTTAGGTTTTGTTTTTGGTTTGTTTTGAGGACAATAGCGATTTTTTATGCAAACATTTTTTTTTTTTTTTTTCAACCAAATAAAAGAAAAAGCAAACAAACGGAATAGTTATTAAAGTTGCCCAGCAGCTTGGCAGCCGACTCAGACGATACTTACGATGCAGAAAACAGTCGTACTTGAAGCAACGCCGACAGAAGAGCGTGTGGAACGAGTGCATGGTGCGTTCACGGGAGACACTCTCGGCCTTAATGCCATCGATGTTGGGTGTACACTCCTGTGGTCGCTCTGGATCCTGGTGCTCGGTCAGCTCAATATACCTGTCGGAAGCGATACAAAATTAGTGGCACTATGATAATGCAGAACATAACTTACTTCTCTTTAAGTTCCTGCGCTGTTCCCTTGTCTGGGAAATTTGCACTTATAGCCTGGAATATAATGGGAACAGGGAAGGGTAACTTTTCCTTTACCTCCTCAACGTTTGGTTTCTTGTCCTGTGACTCCCCGGCAGCGGTATCTTCCGCCTCCTCTACCTTCACTTCGCCCAAGGCAGCTGTTTCGATCGTCGCCACAGCCTCTGGCTTCTGCTCAATCTCATCTTCCTCAGTTGTGGGTTTCGTGGCACTCCCCGATGTCCCCTTGGTTGTTGCCGTTGTGGCAGTTTCCTCTAATTCCTTGTTCTGGGTTCGCATCAGTGCGTGTACCAGCTCCACAAAGATGGCATCGTCCATGAACGACGGATCCTTGTCGCCGTGCACCTTGCCGTCATAGTTCTTTATCAGCTCCTCAATGAACTTGCCATCCTTGTCGAGAACTTCGTCACCCATATATGGTATGTTGTGCAACACTGTCTCATCCTCAACCATAAAGTTCTGCTGCGTGGGCGCCCAGGTGTACATCGTGGGTATCGGAGTCACCGCATTGATCACACAGATGGGCACACGTTGGGTTCCGTTGGAGCCATTATAGCTGGTCACCTCGGCACGCTTCACGCAGTCTACGTGTGGCGGATCGTATGGTTTTGCCTGCCACGTCTTAGACTCACAGTACAGATCCTGCACATTGTGATTATGCTCGTCCCTGCAATGGCACAGACACCTAAATTTACTGCTTGGGGGGCGGTTTTCTTCTTCTTACCAGTTTTTGATCCAAGCTTCTTTGATCTCATCGGCCCGTTTGTAGCGCTTTTGTTGACGTATTTTCATGTACTCGGTCTTGACCCGACGTTTCCATTCCGGCGGCACCTTGGCGGTGCTCATTCTGTCAACACTTATTTATTTATTTATTAACAAAAGCCAGCGGCAAAACCGCCTTTTCTAGTGACGTGAGTGGCCAGCGCTATCGATATCCGCGAGCTGCATTAGCGAGCGGTGGACTCACGCGCATAGAGAGTCAGTGTTGAAAAATTTTTATGTTGCGGTCAAGAAGAGGAAGACTGGCAAAAATAGAAAACATACAAAATAAAAGTAATATGTAATTCTTATCAATTCGTAGATTTGAATAAATTTTATAAGCTGGACAAATTCAAACACATCAAAGGAGCCACGAGCATCGAGGAAATTGGCGCAATGGAACCATCAGCTTGTGAAGGTAAGCGCCGAGCTGGCTGAAGCGAACATTAAACTGATACCGAAACGAAGCGGTTGTTCAGATGTTGCCCTTTGCCTTACCCTAACTATATTTACTGATTGTGGTTAACTAATATGAATGATTTGATATTAGATCTCAAGGCATTCGAGCGGCGACTTACCGAGGTGGTTTCATCGTACAGACCCTCCACGATCCGGTGGCGCAGTATGTATTGAATTAGAAATTAAGGACAGTGTTACAGGACGTTACCCTTAGCATATTTTTCAGTTGTACTCTCCGTGATGTCCGTATGTACAGCCGTTAGCGCATGGTACTGGTTACGGGATCCACGAACGACAGTTGTGCCCCTAACCGAATCCCTCTGGATTCATCCTATATTTACAGTCGCCACCATTACGCTAAGTATGTTGGGATTCATTATACACCATGCTAGGTCCATTATTGACTTGTTTAGCCGTTTCAGTTGTGCTGTTCATATTCGGAATACAGAAGCTTGTGGTGGCGCCACAAATCATAACCTCGCGAACAAGGACGGTGCTAAACGACTTCAATATGAGCTGTGACGACACTGGGAAATTGATATTAAAGCCACGCCAAAACAATAATTGCACATGAGCCCGTTTTGTTAAAGAGATAAATTGTAATTAGTTAATGAAGCTTCCATACCTTGCCCTCATACACATGTAGTTGCAATTATTAATCAATCAGAGACCTTTCGTAAATTTTGCCATCAAAATTATTGTCAAACGTTTGCTCCTATGTATGTGAGATCATTTCAAAGCTAATCATAAGTTTGCAACTTTTCTAATACATACTATATACCGCCGCCAAGTGTGCAGTTGCTTGATGAGAATTGCGTTCTTTGCTGCCAAACAAAAGTATGATTAAAATAAATGACGTTCAAATTTGAATAGCACTTGTGTTTCGCTAACCATTTTTCCGGCTAATGAAATATTAGGTAAAATCCCCAATCCATTTGCCCCCAAGATTGTGCAACACCATCTGTTTTGGCTTGTTCTGTTGATTGGTCCACTGCCTTAACTAGCTGGAGAGGTTGCTATATATAGTGCGCGCTGATGCAGCTCAAATCATCAAACACTTTTTGTTAAGCAAGCAACGAACAGCAAAAAAAATTCGCCATGAATTTCGCATACCTTTTTGCCATTGTCCTTAGCGTGATCCTCTTCATCAGCTCGGGTAAGATATTTGTTTAAATTAGCATTTTTCTCAGCTGCTCCATAAATTCCTTCTTTTTTGTAGCCCAATCCTTCGCCATGGAAAATGACAAAGACTCTGACCACACCCACCATAAGGTGGTACGAAGCTTGAACGCAGCAGACAACATCGATAACCCAAAGGATGGTGAAGCTGCCTGCTGCGGTTAAGAACCAAGCCCAAAAGGCATCAATGTCATGCATTTGCTAGTGCCTCTGAATTGAAATAAAGCATTATTTAAAAACGTATACTCGTAAAACTCTGTTTGGTGGGCATATACGGGCTGAAATAGTAGGACTGCGCAATTTTAATGTATCCAAAAAAATAATATGATACGCTAGTGTTCCTGAATTCAAAAGAAAGCATGTAGGAAACGGGCACTATATCTGGTATGAACTTTAACCAGTTCTGCATGTTTTTTTTAAATTCAAACTATCGAGCAAATTGGCAAACTTGCTTAATGCTTAAATAGCCCCGAATACGGGATCTTCCTAAAATATTTGTCTGCTTTAAATTATACTTCTTTTATCTAAGAAATTCATTTCAGAAATAGGTACAAAAAAGAATTTTCGTACAAGATTTTATAGCATTTTGTAACGCTCCTTTCTCAGTCGTTTCATGTAATTTCTTGATAGTCTTACTTACAAGCAGATTAGTTTATAAATAAGCAAACACATAGCCGAACACATAAATCCTTACAAGTAATACTCAACCCGTCGAGTCTGGTTATAATTCCTTTTGGTAGACTCAGTTTTAACTCAAGTATTTCAAAGAATATAAAACAATTGTCTTTTCTTTTGACTCTTCGCTTCTAATTGTTGTTGCGTGATATTTATTCCCATTCAGCATTTCTAGTATTTGCATTTCTTTCTTTATAAATACTTATATCGTATAAATCTGCACTTAGTTTGCGTGTCGTTTGTATAAGGTTCTGCCTTTTAATTTTTGGTAGAAATATTAACCATCATAAATTTTTATAAATTTTAGATTTGTATATCTTAAAATGTAAGAATATTGCGCAGTTTTTGTTTTGTTTGTCCTTCCTTTATGAACTTGTTCAATATGGTTATAAAATTTGTTTATCAGTTTTTGTGTTGCGACGTGCAAAATATAAATGCATCTGCTTCTGTGTGTGGTTTGTTTTTAGTTGTTTGGAGTTAAGTCTGCTTTACGGATTTATAGGTTAATTGTTTATAATAAAATACTGGCACCAAGCCTTTATTTATTTTTACATCATTATTTTTACTACCACAACTCGTCGGCTGGCCATGTACCAAAAAATAGGCTAAATTTGATTTAAAATGTATTTGTTTATATGTAGATATTTATAATAATCTCTGTAGTGTGGAATTTAGGATTTTGTTTCTTTTGCGCTAAATTACATAATTTTATAGAAATTTTCTTTATACTCGTATCTGTGCATCCTCATCCTCGTCCTCATTATCTCACTTTTTACCTACAACTAGTGCTAAACTATGAACTAAATGTTGTGTTTTGATATTTAAACGTTTCAGTTTGCAATTGGGGAGGCGCAGGTTATTCCTTATTTTCTCTTCGTTATTAACAATCGGGGAAACATTAAAAATGAGCGGTAAAATGGAATTTGCATAAAATATAACTAAAGGCTGCCTCCCACTTTATGCGCGCACACAAAAATAAAAAAAGTTTAAACATAAATTCTCTTACGAAATAAATTAAAGATGAAAACATTTAACAGTAGCTTAACACATATAGAAAAAGTTCTGGGCATGGGCATGGTAGATTGGTGTACTGGTTTATCCCTATTCCTGTGGTCGCTCCTCCAAGCCCAACATTATGCGGCCAACATATTGCGTATATTCTTCGGCGTATTCTCCTCGTTTAAGTGTTTGGTAGTATAGCGGAGGGCGTTGAGCAGCGGCTCCGCCTTGATCGCCGGCTGTGCCTGCAGCAGACGCACACATCCCTTCACGTCGACATGTGCCCCGCGGGCAAACGCCCCCACAGGATGCACATGGTCGTAGAGTATGACGAGTCCCACCATAACGCGCAGCACCAGCATTTGTGTCTCCTCTCGCTCGATTTGTTGCAGCAATTTACTGAAATAACATATAGAGATTACTAATACTGAATGATTTCAAATCTTTTAAACATTCTACTCACGGATTCTCCAGCATTCTGAGGCACACCTTGGCCATGGTACCCAACGTTTCCGTCGTATTTTGCACATCGTCCGCATTGTCGTTCACAAACTTTGAGGTCGCCTCACTTAACACCTTCAACATGGGCGTGGCATGCGCATAGAATAGCGACATCCGATTGGCCAATTCGGTGCTGACTAGCATATTCTCGGTGGAATCGATCCGCTGACGGCTCACAATGCGTCTGTAGTAACTGAAATCGTTCTGTATGGCGGGTGTTTTCATCTGAGGGAAAAACGAATATTTATCGAGAAAATTATTAGATTGATTATTTTATTATATTATTATTTTTTATTGTATCACAAAATGATCAAAATTATATTAGAATGGTTAAGAACTGCCGCTTGTAATAGTAGTATGAATGCTTTTCATTTGTATTATTTCCGAAAAAAGATTGAATTTCGTTGCGAAAATGGTTAGTTGAACAATTCCGATTCCGTATTATTCCTTCGAATTCCAATTATACAAGAGCCTTTTTTTTGTCAATTATATTATTATTATATATTGTCAATTATCTAGCCTTATTATGCAACAACAAAAAAACATTTTTTTTAAGAAAAATGTTTCGATGAAAAGAAAATATAATCACATTTCTTATCAATTCGCAAACTGCTCATATATGCATAAATAAGTAAATAGATTATGTGTGCTGTGAAATGTAATAAAAAATAGCTCGATCATAATCTTACTGTCGTTAAACAAGTTTCCCATATAAGGTATATATTTTTAATCAGTATAATGAGGCAATTCATCCTAACATTACCACCAGTCCGCTCCAAGCCGGTGACCAAACTTGGCATGTCGGCTCTCTTAGTTAATAGGAAACACAAGTTTATTTGGGGCACAGGGCTTTTCACTGTCGGGGCTGTTCGACTGCAACATTCTCTCTTGATTTTCCATTTTAAATAGTTGATTCTGGGGCCCCGTAGCTTAGACTAATAACAGTTAACAACGATTTATTTAACTTGCAACATTTGCAAGTTTACGTTAAAAATAAGCGATTGGATAAATATGGTTAACCTTTTTTCGTGATCGTGTATAGTCTAAGTAATTATAATTAATAAGATAAATATAAATATATATGGAAAACAGAAAAATAAAAACTACATAAGAGCTACAAGTATAAAGATCTTTAGTTCAAGTATAAGTGTGATTTGGAAAGTGCATTGGAAAATATTGTAAGAAAAAGATCAAGAAAGCTATTTTTTAAAGTTTGCCGAAGTTTGTTTTCCGGACTGTTTAGGATAACATATCAGTATCTGCGCGAGAAAACGGATAACAAGCAATATACTTCTTGCTATATAACTGCTTCCGTCGTTACTATTCGATAACAATAAGCATTTTTGTCCATTATTTTTATTCTTGTCTTCAAATCGCCAGAAAATGTCCATGTTAGTCGTAGAAAATAGCTTCCGATCGCTCAGTCATTGCAACTGTTTCGTTTTAGCAATAACGATTCGGCCATAGAAAATCATTTTCATTTTAGCAGAGAGAATCTCGATCATTCACAGTCATTATATGCATGAGGATAAGCAAATCTCATCGTTTGCACTCATCCGAAATCAACCCATTATAATAAAGAGCATTGGAGCTTAGTAAGCAGCGCATATTGCTGGCTTTATCTTTAATTGCCGTCTGTTTCATCTAATTGGACCCAAACGTGCCGCCGTAATTTTCCAGGCATTTGTGTCGCTTAATTTTTTGTAGATCTCTAGCCCAGACCTCACAGCTGTGCACACACACACACGTACTGGAATTTTATGTGATTTCAAAGCGCATTTCAGCGTTTTAGCATTTGAGTTGTCAGGGCTGCAAAAGCGCCGTGCGTGAGAAAATCTATATCCTCCCCCCCGAAACTAAGTACGAGTACGAATGCTCGTATGTTTAAATAATTCTCAGCTTGCTCATCATTCACCTTGAGAGAGCAGCCGCCGCATGCATTTAAACAAATAATGTTATACGAGTATACGAGCATAGATATGTGCCTCACAACTTCACGTATTCAGTATTTTGTGAGGCGGTTTTGTAAAATTGATATAAAAACGTTATTAGCATAAATTATTCTAACAGTTTCGAAAGATGCAGCCGACAAGACGGATGATCAGCAGTCAGCAGAGTCAGAATAATCGCTCCCGTCGCTTGGTGAGTTGTTGACTATACTATACATTTAACTATCAACTCATTATTAATTGCATTTTTTATATATGCATGCATATTTCTATTGTATCGGACGTGGCGTCATTTTCAGCGCTTAGTGCTGTGCTTACTGCTGCTGCCTTACATTGAAGTGCATGCTCAATATTCCAGACAATGGCAGAGTCAGGCTTATGGCTACAATCTGCCACAATATCAGCAACAACAACAACAACAACTACAACCACAAGCTACCTATCGTAACACACCCACGCCTTTGACTTACAATGCAGGACAAGCCTTTGCATCTCCTTTACCAATAACCAGTTCAACCGCAAACTCAGCGCCTCGTTCCATTTGGTCGGGCGCCCCGATTGTTGTGGACGACAGCCTTTATGGCGAAGATAGCAGCAACAACAACAACTACGATTTGGAAACGGATCAGCATAGCACACATGGATATCTGCCCACAAGTACTGTTCACTATAGGTCTACAACGACGACCCCAACACGTGCTGCAAATCACAACTACAACAATGTTGCTGGTTATCAATATTTTACGCAACAACAACAGCAACAACTACAACAACTTGAAAAGCAATATCAGTTGGCGCTACAACAACAAAAGCAACAACAGGAAAGCGAACTTCTAGCCGCTGCCGAGGCGCGTCGCAATGACAATCCCGTCATTCAAATTGGCAATCGACGGCCTCTGCCACATGTTGGTGGCAACAACTATTATGAGCCTCCATTGGCGTTGCAGCAACAACGCAGTTTTGCAGCCAAATATGCGAGTCATTATGCAAATTATTTGCGCAAATATCCGCAACGGCTGCGCGCGCTTTACAACACTGGCGCCGAATACATAGACAAGTGAAAGAAAGAGGTCAGCAGCAAAAATAAAACCGATTTGAAATCAATTCCCAAGTTTCTACTCTAATTTTATTCAATAAACGCAAATTGAGAACATGGCATGCGTTCAAGTGGAATCAGCCCGCCCAGGGAATTTGGAATTATCGTGTGTGTACGTGAATGTGTGTGTGTGTGGCAAGCAAATAGCAAACATTCAACTAATTGCAATATGCGAGCAGATCAATTGTTGTTTGCTCAACTTTCTCCCTAGATTACACCCATATTTTTAAAACTTATCATTACTCTATATAATTATTGTTTATGTGTTAGATAATATTCTATTGAGTTTTGTTTACGAACATAAATACCTGAAATATAATTATTGTTTATGTGTTAGGTAATATTCTATTGAGTTTTGTTTAAGAACATAAATACCTGAAATAACGAAAAAAAAAAAATGGAGTTTTTAGATTATAAGTTTATAATTGAAATTTAATTTTATTTGGCATTTTATCCTTTTATCGCTGAATAGTAGACAGATATTTAGATTTCGCTGGACTATAAAGTAGCAACGGAGAAAACATAAAACATGAAGACCTAAAGGCACCCGAAACAAGATTTCTGGTAAGCTTTTTCTTATAACTAGATTTTCAATTTTGGACTCGAGTGTATGAACACTTTCTTTATATAATTAATTTAAAATCTGTGCACTTCCAAATTATCAGCTACATTTTAAGCCAGTATCAATAAAAAATTTGAATAAATAGCATCAGTTGTTTATATATATGTACTTAAATACAGGTCCATTCATATTTTTACTAGCGGATGCATTTCTGAGACTCCACAAAAGCTGCAACAAAATCATTTTAAGATCTGAGGTCCAAGATATTGGTCCTTATGTTTACTTTTTTAACGAAAACAATGTTACATTTATTGTTGACTAAAACAATTCCTCAATCGCAAAAATCACGTCGGTAATTATGATATGAAGGCTTATTTGTATTGGAAATATGAAAATCCAAAATTCCAACATAGTCAATGAAAACGTAAATTCATAATATTTATTTTTTCAATTTTGTTTTTAGTTACTTTAAGGGTCAACAATTAAAAAGGCAAGCAAGTTTTCAAGTATTTCCTAAAGCTTGTAATGCGGTCAGAAGTGACGCTTTCTGTATAAGACTGCAAACAGCTATTGGCCTGTGCCTGTCTTCAGTTGTTAACTCCTTAGTTTTATAGAAAAAAAATAAACGTGTCCACCTTTGGCGCAGTTAACAGGATATTGAGCGGCAGAGTGTGTAAAATGCTGGAATTTATTGCTTTCAGCTAAGAATAGCAGGGCCAGCGCTGTGTTTGCGTGTGTGTGTGTTGGGGAGGGGAGGGGAGTTAAATTGGTTTACAAGCAAAGCCAATAAATTCTGCAGCATACTTTGAGGCGCACTTCAAAAATACAAGTAACAAGAGTGCAATGTGCGGCTGAAAGTTGTCTAGAAACGGAAGTGGCTATAAGCTAGACATCACGTTTGTGCCATATTGAATGAACTCATATGTGTACTTGTGTGTGTGCCAACATTTCCACAACACAATGAACGTGCAATTCTCACTCCATTCTCATTTCCATTTACATCACCATCACCATCATCGCCATCACCATCACCATCACCATCGTCTTTACTATCAGCTGCAGCCCATAAAAGTTGCAGCAGAAGAAAAGCAAAGGAGAAAAAGAAAAAAAAACATCAGAGCAAGCCGCCAGCTACCACTGATGGGCCCGAATCACGTTCGGTTTTTATTCAAGTTTTGCACACAACGGAAGCAGCTGAAAGCGCCACAGGAAGCGGCCAGAGATTTGCAATAAAAATTAATCGATTTGTAAACAGTTTGCCATTTAAATGCATCAGACATGGGAACAAATGGGAATGCTGAATAACCCAGTTTTCTGTGTCGCATTTAGCATCACAACGCAACACTCTCTTTTTATTTTTATAAGCACTTGCTGCATTATAAGCAATTTCAATTAAACTGCCCGACGACCAACTGCTATCACACAGCATAAATTGAAGTCTCGACATCTCCCCCCGATCCCTGATCCCCAATAACCAGCACCAGAACCACCAACAGCAACAATAACACTCACAACTATAGATTAACTGAGGCATAAACACGAAAACGCCGCACACTCACTCGCACACTTGACTGCTTTGCGTGTTTACTCAAGCGCTGACAATTGCCGAGCTATTTAAATGGCTCATGTGTAACAGTTAATGAGAATTCACTGTAGACACACACTCACACACTCACGTGTACAGACAATAATACATATGTATGTACATAGCACGCACAAAGATTTTTCATCAATGAGCCTCAGCACGCGCGCCTCTTGACAGCTACCGGTCTACTAGTCTTTCTTCAAATCTACACTAAGCGAAATGGAAAATGAAACACAACTTCAATTAGAAATTGGCCATCATTCATTATAAGTATTAAATCAGATATAACTCTTAAGTGTATCAAACATTTTTTTCATATAGAAATTGTGAATATTTGAAAAATGATGATGGAACTGGGACTAGAAACATTGTAGAAGCTTGGATTGTTGTGAAAATATAAAATATAAATATATAAAATATTTGATTTGGATATCACATTTATTTATCCAATTTCCTTCACTACATGGCATGAAAAATAATCCTATAGAGATTTAAAGATGTACAAAATTCTAGAGTTAAAGACAAATGAACCCCTCTACACTCTTTCAACCAAACATTTTTTTTTTATAAATAAGTTCACTAGTTGATACGCAAACTTTGATTTTATTGGAATTGGAAGTAATGGCATCGAATCCATGACATATATGCGGAACTTGATAAATTTGTGTCTAAATTATTCGTCTGTCTAACACTATGCCCACACGTTTTACATTCAACATTTTTTTAATGATAATGGAGTTATATGGATACAGATCTGTCAGCTTAATGTGGCTTTGTTAATTAGTTGTAATATTAGTTGTCTATTGTTTATAAATTCGAACGATATAAGACCCATTTAACCCTCCCGTTTTATAGCTAAAACGTGTACCTCTCAGTGTAGCAGTCAAACAACCTGCCATTGAAACAGGCAGTCCGTCTGTCAGTCACTTATTCGGCTTGGGGAAGCGGCAAGCCAAGTCAATTAAAAATGCAACCACGCGCGCAATGAGTCGGCAACACTGACGACTCGACTCGACTTCACTCGACTTGACTCTACGTCTAACTGCCCCCACATGCATATAAGGCAGACGACAGACGACAAATGACAGTGAACGGAGTCGTTGCTCATTTCTATGAGTGGTTGCTTGTTGCAAGCATTTAAAGAAGACATTTAGCTGTGACCCACGCATATTTTGCACTTTGTGTGGGCAGTCCAACCAAATATGGTGCATATATGCTCGTGTGTTACAAGAAACATACTATACTTGTACATATGTAGATAAATATAGTAGATGTGTTTGGACCGACAACCACAACAATAACAACCATTAAAATAACTCACTCACCTTGTACTCATCGAATTTCAATACAAATTCTAAAATCTCGGCCAGCTGCTTGACCAACGCCTGTTGTGTTTCCAAGTGCTGCGTAGGATTCAGTTTGCCGCCAACCAGTTGGCCCAATAGCATCGGCACTATTTTATCCAATTCCATAGAGTGTTCGTAGCAACGTTTCAGCTTAATGACCAGGGGCAGGACGGCGGACCACGCTTTGGCCTGGCATTCGGTTGAGGGATCGGCTATGGCTTCACGTATTTCTTTTCCAGCCCCCTGTAAACAGAGAGAATAAATGGGGTTTTCAATATTAATTTGTAGGCTGACTTAACTGAATAAAAAGTAGAAAAAAAAAACACATTCTCTCGGTTCGTTTTGCTTTGCAAAATGTGCGCTTGGCATGCAAACAATAAACGGTTTTCATGTTTGATTTTAGTTCTTTTTTCTTCCGTTTTAGTTTTTCAATTTTTTTTCTCCACATTTTATGCTTTTGTTTAATTACAACAAAAACGGCAACGGTGCGGCTATGTTGTTGTTATTTCTGTGCCACATGCAACCATATAATGACGAAGCGTTGCTTCGTTCGTGCATTGACCGGCGCTGCGATTTGTATCGGCGCTTTGCAATCTAAAATACGAATAACAAATAAAAAAAAAAAAAAAAACTATAACAGCGAACGGGCATTGCATGTTGTACAGAATTTACTTGAATTTTTTCAATTGAGTGAGACTTTGCTCAGACTACGTAGCAATCAACAAATGGCGTTGATAATTTCAATTGTTGATTTTTGCTTTATGACTCCACTAATTGGGGGGTTCGCCTATTAGGAACACATTGTTGTCTTTGAACATAATTGCACTTTTTGGGTGTGCCATCGATTACCCGAATAAATGGCGAAAAGGATCAATTGAAATGGACGTCGAATATTTCGTTGAATTCCAAAGCATAAAGCTTTCGTGCGTTGGCATTTAGCCAAATGGCGCTATTCGAGTTTAGATTACCAAAAAAAATTTAGCTACACTTTCTGTGATTAAAATTAAATTTGAATTGACAATTATGCAGTCATAAAATAAATGTCTAAAATATTTATTAATTAAGGCATCAAATCGTTTAAATTGTAAGTAGATTTGCAATCTTAAAACGAAACTATTTGAGACCCGATTGTTTATAATTTGTTTACCACTTGGCAGCGCATTAAGTTATAATTTCTTCATGTTTTGGGAGATTGTTTTAATACTTAGTTTGTTGAAATAAGCTTTTGATTTAATTTTGGTTAAGTAATTTAAGTAAAGCGGTATCGAAGTGATGCAGTCTCTAAAAACTTTGTCAGCCATCAGAGTTGCACACAATTTTAATTCTAATATGTCTTTAATAGAAAACAACCTTTTTTGGGAATTCAAGAATTATCAAGAGCTTCTGTGGGTCTCTGAAATAGAGCGCATACTAACCAAACTTTCAGTCATTTTAAAATTTGATTGAGTTCGGAAAAGGGAGGATATTGAATAAATTAAGAAAGGTAAATAGGTTTAATGGTAGATAGACGATTGTTTAATTATCTAGGCAGATGGAAAGTCAGATATGCAGCCCCAGCGGGAAAACAGTTTTGGGAGTGAGCCCTACTCCCTGTCATGGACTCTGAACTATGTTGGTTCGCATGCCAACTATAGGCCATAAGCGCCTTATCGAGCTCTAAACATTGGTGCTTCGTTTGCGTAATCTATGTTGGTTTCTTTATGTAAAACAGCAACTGTAGATGGCACGCCCGCATAATTAGTGTTAACTACATGCATAGGTACATATACATAGATATATCAAAAGCATGTATGTATGCACAAGTAGGGCTTGTTGGAAAAGCAACACCTTAATTAGGCAACAGTGTGTGTTGCAAGTATCGCGTGTTGCAGTCGAATTTTGGACTGCCCCATGACACACATTAGCCAAGTTACACATTAAGCTGATAGGTATTAGCATGAATTTAAGGATTATTTATAGGTCGACTCGGCTACCAACCAATCTGGCATGCAAGTTAGGCACGCCTCAGTGCTTCGCACACACACACACACACACATACGCACAGGCACACACATAGTGCTGAACGTCTAGGCATTTTTTCGGTCAAGTTTGTATGTTTGGTTTATTTTTGGTTTGCACACCTTTTTGCCTTTTTTCAGCGCTCTCCTGCACGTGTTGTGTGTTTATAATTAAATTGCTGCGCATATAAACAATCCAGAACACACGGACACACACTCCATAACACACTCAGACAACTTTGTGCTTTATCATAATGAAAATGCAACTGTCTGCAGCTAAATCAAATGCCTTCAACATTGTTTTGTTTGCATTTTGTCCGACTGTTTTGTGCTGGCATTTTTTGTACATCATTTACACCTGTCTGTAAGTCAAATCATGTCCTTGGCCAGCAAGACAGATGTTGTTGCGGCTGTTGTTGTTGTTGTTGTTGCTGCTTTTCTAGCTTTATATGGTCTGTCGTTGCACTTGAAGCTGCATAAATACATAAAGAGAAGGAAAACAAACAAACAAACATTTACAAGTTATTTCCACCTCCGCCATCCCCAACTTCCCATCCCCACCTCCATTGCGTCCACAGCTCCATCGTCTTTGTCGTTAGGTTGCACATACACTGCATTGTCTTGTTTACGCCAGCGACTCTCTAAGGACTCTTATCATGAAGCACTGCATCACAACGAAACGGAAACGGGGGCGGCAGGGTGTGGGCGCGCCAAGGCAGGCCAGGCCAGGCCCAAGCACAGGCATTTCAAAGAGCTAGATTGCTGGCCGAGATTGTGCGCCTGCAGGCGGCAAGACTCAATTGCAATGTGTTTAGATGTTTAACTTTTTACAACACATGGCCAAGTGTCGTTGCCTGCTGAAGCTTGGCGAATGCCAACTCAGTTTACTGTGGAACAAACAAATCCGCAAAAGGCAATAAAATACACCTTCTTGGGTTCATTCATCCAAAAGAATTTATCAAAATAAGACTTCTACAGTATTCAAAATTACTGATCCCATCTCACATTTCTTAATCATGCAAGACGCCTCACAAAACGTGCAAAAAATAAAAAATATTTATGATGGATACAAAATTAATATTGAATTTCGAGGGTATCCTTTACCATGCATCCCTCTTTTTTATATATGTAAGTAGCTGCTATAGAACAGATCGGTAGAAAAATTACTCTTAGTACCAAAAACTTTGAGTGTTCCATATTATAAAGTTTTATTGAAATCTGTACCTAATATCCAAAAGCTTTGTTTTTGTTGTGGCAGAGAAGATGGAAACAGGGCATATGAGAGTAGGGATATAGCGGTATAGCTGTACGGCTGTACTCTGATAAAATTCATTTTTAATAATATAAGTAAATGCCCAAAAACTTATACAAATTTTAAATTGAAAAAAAATTATAATTCTAGAGAAGTTCTTAAGCACAACAATGCAATTATTTCAGAAAATTCATTTTATTTCCTGACCGTTCGCTTCTCTGTGGACGGTTGGAGTTGAGTTTTGATATTTCATAACAATTTTAGTGATCTATTCCAATGTGTCGAGCTTGGACTGCAGACCTTTTCATTTGCTGACTCGTGCATGCATATTTTTCATGCATTTATCTCGCATCGCGGGCCATGTGCATGTCAGAAACAAAGCACGCTTGGCATTCTCGCGTAGGTGGAGGATGCTCACAACTTGCTTTTTGTCACAGGAAGCTGCCACCCTCTCCACCACTGCGGCTACCGCTTCCGTGCATCATCTGGCAACATTTGTTGATTCATCGCGTTTCTGCATCATTGCAGAGACGGAGCATCGCATAAAAAACAACTTTTATGTGTTCGCTCTCTGCTGATGCCTTGTCTGTTTGCTGCTCTCGCCGCCTACAACTCCCCTCTAAAGGCACGTGCTATAATGTAAGTATGTACGTGTATGTATGCTTGTGTGTCTAAACGGTTTTTCAGAGAAGTTTTCACCCACACTCAATGTCTTAGCAACAACAAACTTGAACTTGTATGACTTTTATGGTGCATGTACGAGTAAAGCGGCAAATGGAAGAGAAAAACCGTTTCATATTATAACTGTTTCTAGTTTTTAATTAACACTTAATGCGCCAAATGCTGCCACTCCACCTTCCCCTCCCCACCCCCTTCCCTTCATCAACATCAATGCGGCTTGGCCACATAAAAGCGCAATCAGTCAGCGTTTCATTTATTCATAGACCAGCAGCCGACCACTTACAATGTATGTACTTGTATGTATGTATATAAGCATGTACATACTTATACATAGAAACAGCATGCATAGTTAATTAACCGACAAGCGAGTCTGCGAATCTCGCTCAATTCTCTTGCTCTCCCTGTGTGCAAATTGCGGCAGATTTTGCAAGAAGTGTCGGTGCTCGTGGTGTTGTTAATTGTAAATTAAATTACAACGCGGAAATGCAGCCTACAAGGCGACAACGACAACACTTTCGCTTGTCATTTGTCTGCCTGATTGTTATCGATGGCAACAGCAATTGCTGTGCAGTGTTAGTTAATGAGTGCAGGCAGACAGACCAAGAGAGGGAGAGAGAAAGAGAGGCGAATGACCCCACAGTTAATGTAATGTAATGTTAATGTAATGTAATGTTAATGTAATGTAACGCGACCCACACTAAGCACAGTGGCAATTGCTTAAGAGCAAAATTAATAATAGAGTATTGCATACTGAAATGGTTGTAGTAGAGCTTAAGCTACCAATAGTTAAGGGACGTATTTAATTTGGCGACTACAACAAAAAATCCTATTTGATGCAAATGATCTATGCCATGTGAAATATTTCAATTACAAATTACTTTGCTGCCTAAATTCCCTTTTTCGAATTTCATTGCATTAGACATACATCTATACTAATATTATAAAGCGGGAAGATTTGATTGTTTGTTTGTTTGAATTGAAAAGGCTCCGAACTTACTGGACCGATTTAATGGATTCTTTTACTGTTGGGAAGCTACACTATCTACGGTTAACATGGGCTATATTATATTTGCAAAAAAGAATGGAATCCATACTAAAACGCCAATAATGTAACCAAAGGTGTAAAAAAATTACCTTAAAAAACTCCTGAATAGCATGCTGTTAGTTCATAATAATCCTCGAAACATTGTCACTTTAAATATTAAGGCAATATTATTCAAATAAAAGATTACAAATCGATCGACAGCGTTATTAATATTGAAGATATTTAAATTCAGTAAACCCTTCTGGACTGGAAATTAAAGCCTTCCAAG